GCCCCTCACCCCCTTCACCCTCACCCTCCCTCCCGCCCAGGGCAGCAGGGCTCGGGCAGGCTCAGGCTTCAGTTCCCCATCTTGTGGTCGTGTAGTAATTTTTGTTGTCAGATGGGGGTCACGGTGCAGTACAGTTTGAGAACCCCACTAAAGCTTTATGCTTGTGTAGTGTTGTTAGGGCTTATATCCCCTGTGGGTTGCAGCCATTAGGTTATGCCTGATTGGAGACACTTGTGTAAGTCTGACGTTCCATCTAAATGAAGGCAAAGGGGCTGAGATGAATTTGGCACTTTAAATGTAATGTAAATATCAGAATTAGGACACTGACCTGTGAAGAGAATGAAAATGTTTATCATGAAATCATTGTTTTTTTAATCTCACACTCTTAATTGCCTTTAATATTCTATTTTAAACTTTTGGTTAATTTTACCTACTGAACCTGAGCTAGAAAGTGGTATGGTTTTGTCTCCGTTTTCTGTAATAATATATCCACACTGGAGGGGCTTCTCGGGTCAGAATTATGTTGCAGAATTAAACACATAGTAGTGGTATATCACTTATTGCAGTAGTCAGATTATCAGAGTTTACGTTTTGGGCCCAGTTGTTATACCAATAAAATAAAAACCAGCAGGATCTTATTAAAGGGACAAGGCAAAATGCCACATTTATTGTAAATATAATAAAAAGAAATATAAAACTCACACTGTCGTATTGTTACTTATTCCTTACTTATCTATCTATCTATCTATATATTCATTCATTCATACATTCATTCAGACCAGTTCTGCATAGGGGTTCTAGTTAACAGCCTAGAAGTTGCTCGTGACAGAGTACTGGCCAGGTAACCTGTACACAAGAATGGAGCCGAGTCCGTGTCAGATGCGCATCCGATGCTCCTGAAGGGTAGTGGCAGAACTGGAGACTCAAAGTTCTCAGTCCTTAGTGTCCATTTTTATAGGAATTTCTTCCTATGCCAGTCCGTGGAATTTGCTTTGTCATATTGTTAGTCATGACGGCTCCAGGACGGCTGTCAGGTGCTCATCAGCTTTCTTCATCCTTTGAATTGGTCGGGTGGATCCCAGTTTGCCCTCCGGTGGGGTTCTCTGGTTGTCTCCACCTGGTGTCTTCTTCGGCCAATTGATGTTAAATTCCTAGGCTGGCACTTCCCTGATTATTCCAAAACCCCCCATTCATTCACATACATTCCTTTAATAAAAACACATTTCTCATTTCACCGAGTATTGTTATTTTATTTGAGACTCCCTGTCTCTTAACATTCCTTCGGTATTGGCTTTCTTTTATCATACAAAGGTGTTATTTATTTGAGACTCCCCGTTTTTTAACATTCCTGATCCAAACTATAGAGGGTGGGAGTCTCTATGTGACATTTCTATGAGCGCCGCTCCAATTCGCGGCTCTTCACGGGTGTTACAAAAAAGCATGTCAATCTCCATCACAAAGTATCCGTTTGCAAAGTAGAGCCAATTGAACATAAAGTGAAGCTGGTTAAAAAGCATGTCAATCTCTATCACAAAGTATCTGTTGACAAAGTAAAGCCAATTGAACATAACCATTTAAGAAAGTAACGTTAATTGATTGATTTACATTTATAAGCGTCAATCTCAATTACAATCAATGGAAAGCGTCAATACAGAAAAAGCAGAATCAATTAAGCCGTTTAGTTTTACAAGCATCAATCTTAATAACAATTGAGAGAAAGTATCAATTTAGAATCAATATGAGCGGTTTGCAAGGTACGGTTTGCAAGCTTTAATACAGAATTGTAAATCAATATTGCAGATTTACAATTATGTCAAATAGAAGAATTATAAATGCAGATTTACAAATATTATAAATCAATATTGCAGGTTTACAATTTATTATGAACAGAATCACAAATATTAAGAATATGCCTACACAGTCCGACCCCCCACTGAAGTGAATGAAAAGACTCCCAATGGCTTCATAGGATCTGGATTCAGCCCTTTAAGAGCTGCTTGTGCCACTAAGAATTTCATGAAAACTCAAAGAACAGCAAAATACACAAAATGTATCTGAACAGAAAGTGGTTAAGGGGTAGGCGATAACTGTGGAAGAGAAATAGTGTGCCACAGTAGAGACATAAAAAGGAATCCTGCCAACAAGATATGATAGAAGTAGGGCTGTTGATTAATCACAGTTAACTCACGCGATTAACTAAAAAAAATTAATCATGATTAAAAAAATTAATCATAGTTTTAATCGCACTGTTAAACAATAGAATTCAATTGAAATTTCTTACATATTTTTGGATGTTTTTCTACATTTTCAAATATATTGATTTCAGTTACAACACAGAATACAAGTGTACAGTGCTCACTTTATATTATTATTTTTTATTTCAAATATTTAAAACAATGTAATACTTTAGAGCCTACAAGTCCACTCAGTCCTATTTCTTGTTCAGCCGATCGCTATCACAAACAAATTTGTTTACATTTACGGGAGATAATGCTGCCCACTTCTTATTTACAATATCACCTGAAAGTGAGACCAGGCGTTCGCATGGCACTTTTGTAGTAGGCATTGCAAGGTATTTACGTGCCAGACATGCTAACCATTCGTATGCCCCTTCATCCTTCAACCACCATTCCGGAGGACGTGTTTCCACACTGATGATGCTCGTTAAAAAAAAATCATGCATTAATGAAATTTGTGAATTAACTCCTTGGTGGAGAATTGTATGTCTTCTGCTTTGTGTTACCTGCATTCTGCCATATATTTCATGTTATAGTAGTCTCAGATGATGACCCAGCACAAGTTGTTCATTTCAAGACCACTTTTACTGCAGATTTGACAAAACACAAAGAAGGTACCAGTGTGAGATTTCTAAGGATAGATACAGCACTCGACCCAAGGTTTAAGAATCTGAAGTGCCGTCCAAAATCTGAGAGGGACCAGGTTGGAGCATGCTTTCAGAAGTCTTAAAAGAACAACATTCTGATGTGGAAACTACAGAACCCGAACTACCAAAAGAAGAAAATCAACCTTCTGCTGGTGGCATCTGACTAAATGATGAAAATGAACATGTATTGGTCCACGCTGCTTTGGATCATTGTTGAGCAGAACCAATCATTGTTGTGGACACGTCCTCTGGAATGGTGGTTGAAGTATGAAGGGACATAGGAATTTTTAGCACATCTGGCACGTAAATATCTTGTGAAACCAGCTACAACGATGCCATGTGAACGCCTGTTCTCGCTTTCAGGTGACGTTGTAAACAAGAAGCGGGCAGCATTATCTCCCTAAATGTAAACAAACTTGTTTTTCTGAGCAATAGCTGAACAAGAAGTAGGACTGAGTGAACTTGTAGGCTCTAAACTTTTACATTGTTTTGAGTGGAGTTATTTTTTGTACATAATTCTACATTTTTAGGTCCAACTTTCATGACAAAGAGATTGTACTACAGTACTTGTATAAGGTGAATTGAAAAATACTATTTCTTTTGTTTTTTACAGTGCAAATATTTGTAATGAAAATTAAATATAAAGTGAGCACTGTACACTTTGTATTTTGTGTTGTAATTGAAATCAAGTATAATTGAAAATATAGAAAACATCCAAAAATATTTAAATACATGATATTCTTTTATTGTTTAACAGCACAATTAATCATGATTAATTTTTTTAATTGCTTGACGGCCCTGGGCAGCACCTAAGATCTTGACTGAGTTTCTTACACACTGATATACAGTAAGGTAACTTGTATATCGGTGTTGCCCTAAGGACAGTGCTGTAAAAGAAAAGTAAACACTTTAATTACCTTACCATAAACCATGTTTCCACGAGTTAGTTGTGCTCTATGCTATGAGTAAGGAAGAAGATGGAAAAATGATCAATAGAGTGTGTTGTGAGTGAACTTGTCATTTAAATGTAGGTTAATATGATGGGTGTATTCTGCTGCTACACACATCCCATAACTAAATGTATTTAATTAGGTTAACATCACTACGTAAACTTCTCTGTTGGTCAGTAAACAGCAACAGGAGCAGAAAAAAAAAATTCTTATGTATGTTGCATCTTAAGGGATGAAAATTACACTGGTTCAAGGGTAAGGATTTGCTATTATCAGTCCGAGACCCATTGCCCTAGACTGAGGGACCTGACACAGATTTAAGGTCTGATTATTTTTATTTATTTATCTATTTATTTATTTTGGTGAACCATTTAGGCTCGAAATTAATGGTGTATCTATTTCAAACCCTGATAAGACTGAGAGAGAAAAAAATGAAGTTACGATTCTGATTTGCAATCTTGCTTTTCTCCCTACTTCTTTTCAAACATGACTAATGCAGTTAATAACATACAAATAACTAACTAAAGTAAGATTCTGAAAAATAGAATTTTAGCCTTCTGGTGTAAATCGGTGATCAATCAGAAAGAGAAGTATTGGGTCCCAAGTCTTTGATCTCTGTCAAATCTGTACTTATTGGTAAAGTCATCATTCTTTCTTCCAGTTGCTGTGAACCCTGGTGAGACATTACTCTTTCTGAACTAGTTTAAATGAATTAGTAAAGGTGTGTGGGCTCAAATCCAAGGCATTTTTATTACTGTATGTAAAGTTTTGATGCCTGGGACTTGTAGGACCAAGTTACGCCTAATTGAAGTCTGTGGCAGTTTTGCTTGAGTAAGGATTGCAGGATCTAGCACGAGAACTAGGGAAAAGTAACCTCCATTCTGTTGGGGAGAAATTTTCAGACTGTGAACCTCTTCACAATCATAAACGTTGGTGCTAGCTCTGAAATAAATCATTCATCATTCTGGAGTGCCTGGATGATATTTTTTGTACTGCTGTCTAGTAACTGATCCTGCATTCAAATCTGAAATCCGTATTGAAGTCTACGGCGAGAGAATGAGTCCAAAAACACATTAATGTTCATCTTGCAAACTGTAGTGGAGGTGATTTTACTGGTCATAAAGGTACTTAAATTGAAACTTTTTGTCCTTGGCTTTCCAATACAGCTTCCATGGCCTCTGAAGAACTTACTGGTCTCTCAAACATCTTCGCACGCCAGAATTCCACCAGCGGCATTTCTCTAGACTTTGAACCTGACACTGACTACCACTTTGTTGAAACCTTAGAAGAACGGTACAAATGTGCCTATTGCCACTTAGTCCTTCACAATCCTCACCAGACAGGATGTGGTCACAGATTTTGCCAGCATTGTATTATTTCTCTGAGGTAAGAACAATACAGTTCTCTCTCTTCCCTCTACAAATAATTCCCCCCAACAATTAACAATAGTCAACATCTTTCAAAAATCAACACCAAATGCCATAACAATATTAAAGGACTTAATCCAAAGCCAATGGAATTCAACAGAAAAATGCATTGACTTCAGTGGGCTTGGGCTCAATAACAAACCTTATGAGATGCGTGTGTAAAGTACGTAGTCTCTGTTGGTGTAGCAGGTTGGCAATGTTAGCCTGAAACACTCCAATCTGGTAGCAGCTGTTGATCAGACTGGGGGGAAGGCTTAAGTTAGTTCTGCTGACTCACAGAGGCTGGCAACTTGCTACCCTTCTGAGGCGTTCTCTAAACGTAAAAGTTATATTGATCTAATTAAATCGGTTTAGAAACTGATGTGTGTACGCAGAAGGGGGAAGTACATCAGTTTACCTCAGATTCTGTATCGATTTAACTAAATCTATTTAACTCTTGTGTGTAGACAAGACCTCAGCTATATGGGAGACTAGAAAGAATCTAGGGGGGTGAGTGAGTCTCGAGGTAGGCAACCCTAGGTGTGGTCAAACCCACACAATAGGATTGAGCTGAACTTTATACTTTATTCTGGTTAATTTCTCTGTTATAATAAAACCAAACCCCAGGAAGGGGACAAGTTTGGACTCTACTCAGTGTGTGGACTGTGTTTGAAAGCAGACCGGGAATGGCACCTACTCCCATTGGCTAAAGGTACATATGTCTTGAGATACAATCTGTCATTTGGGGATCAAGGAGTGTGTACATGTGTGTATGTGTTTGGGTTTTTTGTTTTTTGTTTTTTAAAAAGGTCCTGAGTACAGTTTGGATAGGTGGTGGTAAGGAACATGAGGTCTTTCTGGCAATTCAAACAAAGTAAATCAAGTTGTGGGTCTGATGCAATTGTTTTCAGATAAAAATTTTGAGCTTTTATACTATAGAGTATGACAGGTGAGAGACCATCCAGCAGGGTGATTGGATGGGCATAGAACTCTGTCTGTCACCATGATATCTAGGTGCCTGTTGTTATTTGCGTTAAACAAACAGTAGTTTTATATTGGTGGTTAGACTGATCCCGCTCTCACTTGTACTGGTGTGACTCCATTGACTTTAATGGAGTTATACCATTATAAATCTGATGAGAGATCAGAATCAGTCCAATCCTGCAGTCAGCTCACAGTGGTGAAAGGGTCTGTTGACTTCATGGGGGGCTCATCAGAGGTAAAAGGGGTTTGTTCACCCACACAGATCTAATTGCACAGTGGAGATACATTGATATATGGTCCTTATATAACTGAAGGTTGGAGTTGGCCATGTAGACTTCGCTGAAACTTTGTTACACATATAGATGTCAGTATCTTTAAATATACTTTTTAATGTTTCATATTTGGTTCTCTTTCTTTTGGGTTGTCACTCCTTGGATAATATGTCATTAGGTATTTTGTTTCTTGCCCTTTCTTTTTAGTATTTCTCATAACTTGTTGAGATAGTTCGGCACATTTAAAAGGTCTCAAGCATGGAAGGGAAGGCATTGCTTGAGTTAGGCAAAGGATAATGATCCTTTCACCTACACTGTGAGGTTTTTCCCAAATATAACATCATTTACTAGCAATGTATAGTCATTGGGTAATAAAATTCTGTTAATTAAAAAAATACTTATTAATAACAGGATAAATTTTCCTCATACTAAATGCAGTTCCTACTTAATCTGAGGGTAGAACTTGGCTTTATAATTCTTAGCACAATACATTTTCAAAGTGCTATTCAAACATTTAATCCCCATATGCAGTATTGAAAATTAGCAAGGTGCATTATGGGGCTTTTCCCACTTGTCCCTGAAGCATCTGGTATTGGCCACTAGGATAATGAAGTCGATGAACCAATAGTCTGAATCAGTATGGCCAAGCCTATGTAGAAGGAATTAAGCATTCTGTGAATTAACATTTTTCTGCCCTTTTTTTTTTTTAATGTAGAGAATTTAATGCAGTACCCACGTGTCCTGTAGACAAAGAAACAATAAAAGCGCATGAGGTAAGAAAAGGAATAATTCTGGTAGTTATGGTTGCTTGGACATCCAGCCTGTAGGGGGGCGGGCTCCAACAGAAGACTAAGATAAAGTAGGGACAAATGCAGCTCTCAGCCTTTAAATGAACCAGGGCACTGCCACCTTCATCTCTGGAAACAATGAGCAAGGAAGCTCTGTATTTGGTGATGTTTTGTTAGTGAAGTAAGACATTAATGCCTTACAGCTGGAGCTTTTACCTTACACTCCACTGAATTGTTTCAAAATAAAGCCATCTTAGTACTCTGTTTTGGGAGTCCTGCCTTAAACCCAGTGGTATGCGGCCTATACCCACAGACTTGGTGGACTCATAAGATGTCTCTGGTCTTGAAATGTATTTACAGCAGAGAATAGGTTTCTTATTCTTTTAATCCGGCCTCCTATTCTGGTTATTTAACAGTACTTAGTTTTAACGTAATCTGTCACCTTGCCTATTTTCAATGTAACTCATTAATCCTGCACACTTATTTTTTTTTTTTTTTTGTATTCTTATTTTGGGGAAAGGTCACACAATGGCTATTTTTTAAGCCACATCCTTTTAGGAATATATTTATTTGGCCCAGAGTGTGAGCATGAGCCCTCCCTGTACCCATGTGTTTCTGCCAGGACACAGTCCCAGTGGATTTCACATCCCCTACCCAGCAAGGAACTTGGGTATCAGGTTGTGCCTGTCATTCCACGTGTTAGGGATGTTGTAGGTATTTCACTCACCATCTTATTCAGTGGATTCATCCCCCGTTTACTGTGTGCATGAGTTGTGGTGGCAACAGTAACACACAAAAAAGATTTGGGACCATTAATATAATAGTAATACTTTGTGCTTGTTATAGTGCTTCTCATTTGAAGATCTCAAAAGAAGGCTGACAGTCTGCTCTGAGAGCTTAATTTAGCTCTCATCCAACAAGTGGAAGATGCTTATGAGCAATGCATTGTATCCCCTCCTCCCAGAAGCTAAAAGCATCACCTCTACAACAGCTTCAGCCCAATGCAGGTCCTAGAATGAAATATCAAGGTTAGCCTCAATCCCAGGTTTCCAAAGCTGCAATACGATAGGTAGCTCAATGCATAATCCATGTAGTCAGCCTGTTTTTATTTCATGCTTCAAAACATCCCACTGTTGTTCTTAGTCTCCTGGTATTGTCAGTGATTTCCTTTTACCGCTATTCTCAGTATATGTTTTCAGCATGACATTGTTTGGAATCACACTAGCAGCTGGAGTGGACGCCTCTCATTTAAAAGATTTCTTGTGGTAGGTTGCTGTCCTTTGTGTTCTTAATGTCACAAGTTCGTAAATTTTGTGATTGTAGATTGCTTCCTTTGCAGGTGTTCAAAGACAATTGCTGTAAAAGAGAAGTTCTCAACTTGCAAGTATTTTGCAAAAATGTTCCTCAATGCAATTCAAAAATAATTCTGGGACGATACCAGGTTAGTGTTAAAGTATCTTTATATATATATTGGCCAAAATTCTGAAGACTTTAGTCAGTCAAAACTTTGACCTGTCATAAATTAATTTGCTCTTTCCCCTTTAAACTATTGTCATTAGGTTTCAGGGTTATTACAGCATTGAGATTACTGTAACTGGAGTTTGGCCTAAGAACATACGTCTTGATTTGACCTATTCAGTGTACTACTATATGTAAACATGAAACTTAAATACTAAGCCGAACCTGTTGCAGTTGTAAGTCCACATCCGTTATATTTTAAATAATTGGCTTAATAAGGACTCCTGTTAACACACATCCTTTCTCTTTGTGACAATGTCTCTGTCTTTCAGCTGACTCAGTAAGACAGTACTACATTGGGTCACATTCAGAAGGTTTCTCTGCTCCTATGAGAGCACAAACCAGTAATTTTGTTAAAATAGAAGTTAAAATTCTGCAGAAACGGAGAGAAAGGAGACTCAGGCAGGTAGCTGCCACGGTGATTGACGAGCTCTGAGGACCTAGAGAAAGAGGTAGTGCAGCATACATTGTTTCAGTTTGGTTCCTGTTTGAGACATTAACTGGACAAGGAGTGGAAGTCAAAGCAAAGATTCTCTCTGAGTCTTCAGACCTTTCTCTGACTTTCATTATCAGAGCCATTACTGGGAAAGCGTTGTTTAGTTTTCTTTAACTAAACCTATGTAGTGTCTTAATATCTCTAGCAGACGCTTTGGTATTTAAGTAAGGACACAATTAACCATAACTCTAGCCTAGTCAGTGCATTCTACACTCATGTGACTTTTAAAGTATGATGGTGTTTTGTTGTTGCATGGCACAGGATCACCTTCAGCAATGCTTATTTGAAAGTGTTCAGTGCACTAATGATGAATGTCAGGATCAGATTCTTCGGAAAGATTTAAAAGATCACCTAAGTCTGCACTGTAAATTTCGAGAAGAAATATGCCAGTACTGTAATCAATATGTGGTTTCAATTCATTTAAAGGTAAGATTGCGAAAGATTTCCTAAAAGTTCAACTGTTTAAATTGCTGTGAAAAAAGTTCCAAAGTTGCTATGAGGTTTTATGCTTCTGAAACAAAATTCATTTGAGTATCTGAAGAACATATAATACATGTATTTTATAACAATATTGATAACTGTAGGTACAAAGTTGACATCTGTTCCCTTTAAAAAATACTTTTTAAAAATAAAATTTGTATATTTAAAAATATTATTTCTGACAAATTAGTAAATTTTTTTGTGCGTGTGCTGAAGCCAATGGGCGAAATTTATCCTCTCAGTCTGTGGAATTACATAAAGGACAAATCTGGCCTCAAATGTCTAAATCTGGTTTTTGAATATTTCAGCCAAAATGATTTAGCTGGTTCTGAGATCAAGGCTAGGGAAAAGTATGTTGTTTTGCACATATTAAAAAATTCTGGCAACATTTCCTTTGAGAGGACCTAGGATGCTATGCACGTTTTAGAGGGTTGAATTAAGGTTGCACAAGCAACTTTTAATTCTGGCATTTCCTAACGATTGAGTGCTTGATTTTTGCAACCATAACATTCTTTTAACTTGGGGTGTGTGTGTGTGTGTGTGTGTGCCAACAATGTGTGTATTGATGTAAGTATGTGCTGCTGTGCAGAATATATATCTTGCCTATTCCTTCTTGCATGCACTGTACGATCTTAGAAAAATTGAGTTATTCATGAATAACAAGTATAAGCCATTCCTAATCAATCTTTTTTTTTCTCCCCCAGAACCATGAGAAAAATGAATGTCCTGATTTTCCTGTGCCTTGTCTCCACAACTGTTCTCAGATCATTCTGAAAAAGGAGGTATTATTTGTTTGATCATTTACTGTAAGTTGGCAAATTGTATCGTTTTGTGAAAACTAGAACTTACATCGTAGGCCTCACCGTTCCACATTTGGGATGAATTTGCTTCATTCCTCTAGATGCTACTTCTGTTTGTTCCTAAAATTGATACATGACCTTATCAAAGCATATCATAGGAACGTGCTATGCTTTGCAGAGCTTTTGCACATTGCATTATTGTAAACCATCTGTCTCGTTCGTTGACACTGATTAATCAGTCTCCATTGTATGTGACAAATGGTATCTTAACATCACTTTGGCCTTTTTGCACCCCTTATGCAGGAGTTTAGGTTCAATGAATGTATAATTCAATAAATTTATCACTACCAATTTGTTTTAATACTTGCAGATGGATAAGCACTTCTGTGTGTGTCCTGAGGCAGAAGTAGATTGTCCCTATAAACAATACGGCTGTCCTGTAAAGGTACTGTAATCTAGACCTCCATTTGTACTGTGATTGGGGTTTTCCTCCAAAAGCACTAAAGGATGGTAGCCTAAGTAACTATTTTTCTGTCCTCTCAGAGTCCCTTTCAATGTGATTTAAGATATCAAAGTAAGCAGTTGTTTGGAGCTGTTTGTCTGTTTTTGAAGCAGGCAAAGAAACATTTAACCACTTGCCCCAACAGAACTTTCTATTAACAGCTCTGTTTATTTGCCTTTATTTTTTTTACCCTCCCACCCCCAGATTAAAAGAGGAAAGCTTGCAGAACATGAGAACGCTGCTCTGAGGGAACACATGCTACAAATTTTAGACAAGAATTCCAAATTGGAAGAACAGGTAATGAACATATGTAATGAACACTCTTCAACAGTTTTTAACTGGTAAAAGAAAAGTCCAGGTTGCACATGTGTTGGGATTGGCCCAGCCTCCTCTTTAAAGAATATTAAACTTTTCATCCCACATTCTGCAAGCCAGTCAAAAACCCTTTCCAGTGAAGCCAATAAGCTATCAGGGGTTTTCAAACTTCATTGCACTGCGACCCCCTTCTGACAACAAAAATCACTACATGACCCCCCCCCCCCCCCGGGAGGGAGCCCAAACCTTGCCATCCTGGGCAGGGGGGCCAAAGCCAAAGCTGCACCGTCCTGGGTGTGGGCGCCGAAACCCAAGGGCTTTAGCTCCAGATGGGGAGCCTGTAACCTGAGCCCTGCCACCTAGGGGTGAAGCCCTAGGGCTTCAGCCCTGGGCCCCAGAAAGTGTAAAGCAAGCCTTGGCGATCCCATTAAAATGAGGTGGCAACCCACTTTGGGGTCCTGACCCACAGTTTGAGAACCACTGAGCTAGATCGAACCCCACCCCTGCACCCTTGTGTATTCACTGCCACTGCTCTCCTTGCTGTTTTTCACCCCAAACTCTCCCTTTGGGGGGAAGGGCTGTGGACATGGCATCCTAAGTTTTGTCTAGGGTTCCATAGTAAATTGGCTGGGGGGGCGGTGGCAAAGATGCAGTTTCAAGGGATAGGTGCCTCGGGGATTCCCAGGCCAGGCCCTGTTTACAGGGAGCACCATCCACTATCTGCAGCCCCTTTCCTCCCCATGGAGAGGAAGTTGCAGCCACCCTGGAATGCCCAGCAACCAGCTGCTCTCTACCCCCAAGAGATGTTCCGCTGTTTGGGACCCAGCACCTGGGGCTTCTATCAGCAGAAGCAGATATAAACCTCAGAATGAATTCAGACCAATATGTGTGTTTATTTAAAAACAAAGGAGCAAAAACAGTAAATGATTCAGAATTCTACAATGTAGCACATTACTGCAGTACTAAGAGCCAGTGCTTCCCCCTAACTCACCTGTTACACTGACTAGGTGCCAATAATTTTAGTGCAATGCATTTTTAATCCCTCCTAACACAGTATGGCTCTCTGTCCCCCTCTAGTGGCTAGTCAACATTTGGTGGTCTGAGTCTCCTACAGCATTCGAACTAAAAAATCTGGTTCTTTAGCAAAGCCAATAAACGCTTATGGTTTTTACACACACAGGCAGGGATTCCATCCTCACCTCTGCCCCATCCAGGGATTTTGGGTTAACATTTTGAAACAGGAAAATAGTTGTTATATCTAAGTATGTTGGTGCAGCACATCAATATACCCTTCCATGTGTACCTATATAGCTTCCATACGTTTTAATCTGTTTCCTGTATGCTCTGGATAGGCTTGAGTTTTCACTCTTCATTTTCCATTGTTTAGATATCTGACCTATATAAGAGTTTGGAATTTAAAGAGATTAAAATCCAACAGCTAGCAGACACAGTTAAAAAGTGTGAAAAGGAATTCAGACAGTTTGCACAGCTGCTTGGGAAAAACAGCAATTTGATGGTAAACACGCAGGTGAGACATTTACTTTATCTTACTGACAAATTGCTTTTTTATGGCCTGGAATACAATTATCCAGCAATAGTTGTAATTAATGCCAGGACAATAACAAACACCAGCTTTCAAAGCCACTTACTGCATGAATTTGGATTGATTTCTGGAGTGCACTGTGCTCCATATATGGATTTAAACCACTATTGTTTTTTAAAATACAATACATACAGCCTTCCCATTATAATTAATATGGGAGCTTGGGAGTTCCATGGGAGTTTGACCAGAGTAAGGTGTGCTGAATAGGACTCATAAGGCCAGTTTCCAATTTCAGTTATGCTGGTGTAAATTAATCAAACCAGTTGAGATGAAAGTAATAAATGGTGAATGGTAATGAATTAGACATTGATTCTTAGTGAATGAATGCTGAATTAATCATGAGGAAACATTTGAAGGATTCCAAAGGCAAATGAGGATATTCTTGAATGTAATGTGTAGTCAATATTACTATTGTACAAAGACATTTTTGAATCTCAAATGAAATGATTAATTTTATTAATGTGTGTTCATTCCCCTCCTCCTGCATTAAACTTGAAGACTCTTGCCAGTCATATTGATAAATCTGCATGGCTGGAAACACAAGTGCGCCAGCTAATACAAATGTCAAACGAGCAGCAAAGTAAATTTGACCTGAGGCCACTGTTGGAGACTATTGAAAATGTAAAGCAGAAGATTTCCTTTATGGAGACATATGATCAGCGTTTAGGTATGCTCGGATTTTTTTGTTTTGTATTTTTTGAGTAAAAACTGGTGTTACTAGAGGCTGTGATGTTGTTTATCAGTTTGGATCACCTTCCCCATCAACTTGTTTGCACAATTAGCCTGATGTGGCTCTTCAAAATGAACATCAGCCCGAACAAAAAGTGTAACCAAAATGATGACGACATTTCTGTGATAAATGTCCTTTATATTCATGGTGGATGACAGGTAAACCTTTGCAATAACTTGCATTGAGTTGTGCCCTCTCTCCAGCCTTCTTCTACTGACCATAGTTGGTCATAGTTCTTGGTGCACAGCCCTTTGGGTGACAACGTTTGTAATTGCAGTGGCAGTTATCAAAAAGTGTAATAATCCTACAGTGAAGTTGTTATAGGATTCTGAAGTTAAAAACTTTAGCCTGAGAGAGTAAGGGTAAACTTACTACAGGAAGATTACACTTTTTGGTAACTTCCACTGTACTAATGCTGCTATTTGTTACCCTGTTGTTCCCTTAAATTCCAGTGGGCTGCTTTTGTTGTCGTTGTTGTTAGGTCATGTTCAAGAAATTTATGCACAACAGGGTTCTATGTAAGCTGCTTTTGTTGTGCAGCCTGTAATGCTCCGCTATTGTAGGACACGTGGGGCTTGGTTCTCCTTTCACTTCTATGGTGTTACTCCTCACTCTCACCTGTGAGCTCAGAATTAGGCCCCATAGTGTCAGGTTATTTTCCTGCTACAACCTGAAAAGACTAGCATAAATTCTTAGAATAATCAGTGGCACACACTGTGCTGGAGAATGCAAAGAACACCTATGTCAAAGATGACATTCCATTCTTGAAAGTTGTGAATTTATCTGACCTAGAGGAATTATGAAAAGTAACTGGAACACATGACTGTTTTAATTACAAAGAAATGCTTTTTGAATAAATGACTAGAACACGGATGTGTCTATCCAACAGATCTGAACCAAAACCTCGTATAGCTAAACACACCCAAACTTGAAGGAAGTTGAGATCCAAAAGCAAACTTTGCATCTCTGTCACATCTCTAAGATGCATGTGTGACAGCAGTCTTCAAACGGGGGTCTTTTGTGCTGGAATTAAGAGGTTTCTCTTGACTCAAATTATGTTAATGGCAGCAGACTCACTGAAATGGCCACTGCCACAAAGTTAATTGTCTTGTGTAGTTCCTGTGATTCCTCAGTTATTTCTAAACTCTGGGCTCTAGCCACATAGTTGTTACGGTCCCCTAGTCTGTAATTCACTTTGTCTCAATCACAATTTTCCCTAACTGGATGTTTCGTGTGTCTTTCTTCCCAAGTTGTTTTGGAAGGCCAGTCCAACAAACATGATGTCCACATCGGTCTTCACAAAGCACAGATCAATAAAAACGAAGAGCGGTTTAAGCTTTTGGAGGGCACATGTTACAATGGAAAACTAATCTGGAAAATCATGGACTACAAGATGAAGAAAAAGGAAGCCATGGAAGGCCGCACTGTCTCTATATTCAGCCAGCCTTTTTATACCAGCCGCTGTGGGTACAGATTATGTGCAAGAGCATATCTGAATGGGGATGGCTCAGGAAAAGGGACGCATGTCTCCCTATACTTCGTAGTGATGAGAGGAGAGTTTGACTCGTTGCTACCGTGGCCTTTCAAGCAAAAAGTTACACTTATGCTTCTGGACCAAAGTGGGAAAAAAAATCACATTGTGGAAGTCTTCAGAGCCGACCCTAACAGCAGCAGTTTCAAAAGGCCAGATGGAGAGATGAATATTGCCTCTGGGTGCCCGAGGTTTGTGGCACACACTGTGCTGGAAAATGCAAAGAACACTTATGTCAAAGATGACACTCTGTTCTTGAAAGTTGTTGTGGATTTAACTGACCTAGAGGAATTATGAAGTACCTGGAAGACATGACTATTTTAATGATAAAAAAATGCTTTCTCTCAGTGACTATTGGCCAATTTCATACAACAGTGAATTGCCACTAGTCCAACTATGTTTTTGACTGCATGATAGCTACTGAGTTGCCAAATCACCAACCTTTCTTTTTTACTTTTTCTGTATCTGGGATCTGTAAGTCCAGTTGGATGGTGTGAACCAAATCAATATATTCAAACCAGTATTTTGACTCTGTTCAATATATTTTGGGAATGAATGCTTGGCTTACATCTCAAGACTGGCATTTTAAGATGAAACTGCAGTAGGCACTTTGGAACCCAAGCTTGTGGTTCCAGTCACTTACAGACGTTGATAGGGCTCCCATCATAGTGGTGTCTAGGTGCATTTCTTGTGGGTTTGCGAGGGAATCATTTCAACACTGCCTGCAAATGAAGAGTTGAATCCTGCTCCCAGCAGCACCTTGACTTTTAAAAACCGAGGGAGAAAAGCTGAGCCAGGTAGGAAAAACCTAGCCAGGAATTTCAGAGCTCCTAGTTATTGGAAAGTCTGGATGAAGATGTCTTATAGTTCTGGCCTGCTTACTCAGCTGTGCTGAGCAACCACAACTCACATTGATGTCATTAGTGTCCCCTGTGTTCCTGCTCAGTGCTTTGGGCCAGATCCTGATTTGTGATGAGCATCCCCAGTCCCCATTAGAAGTCAATGGAAGCTGCTGGTGCTTATCGCCTCCCAAGATATGGTCGTTATTGGGGTTCTCAGCCCATCTACTAACCTACAAGAGTAGCAGACTAGTTGAGTCCACTGCTGGAAGGCAGGGGCAAAAGCTTTGAAACTTTTGCTCCTCTTCTGCCTGTGGAGGAAACTTATTTTATTTTATTTTTTTGGTGACTTAGCAGCCCTGCAGTGGCTCAGAACTTTGGAAACTGCACTTGAAGGGTTTCTGCTAACATGAAGCATTCCCCAAAGATGGAGAAAAGAGGATGTGTGTGGAGAAGCATTGCTTTAAATTAGGGCTGTTGATTAATCACAGTTAACTCATGCGATTAACTAAAAAAAATTAATTGGATTAAAAAAATTAATCACAATTAATCGCAGTTTTAATTGCACTGTTAATAGAATACCAATTAAAATGTATTAAATATTTTGGGATGTTTTTCTACTATTTTCAATTATATTGATTTCAATTACAACACAGAATACAAAAAATGTACAGTGCTGCCTTCATATTATTATTTCTGATTACAAATATTTGAACTGTAAAAATTATAAAAGAAACAGTATTTTTCAGTTCACCTCATACAAGTACTGTAGTGCAATCTCTTTATTGTGAAAGTGCAACTTACAAATGTAGATTTTTTTTTTTTGTTACATAACTGCACTCAAAAACAAAACAATGCAAAATTTTAGAGCCTACAAGTCCACTCAGTTCTACTTCTCGTTCAGCCAATCGCTAAGACAAACAAGTTTGTTTACATTTATGGGAGATAATGCTGTCCACTTGTTATTTACAATGTCACCAAAAAGTAAGAACAGGCATTCGCATGGGACTTTTGTAGGTAGCATTGCAAGGTATTTACGTGTCAGATATGCTAAATATGTGTATGCTCCTTCATGCTTCAGCCACCATTCCAGAGGACATGCTTCCATGCTGATGACGCTCGTTAAAAAAACAATGTGTTAATTAAATTTGTAACTGAACTTCTTGGGGGAGAATTGTATGTCTCCTGCTCTATTTTACTCACATTCTGCCATATATTTCATGTTATAGTAGTCTCAGATGATGACTCAGCACATGTTAATTTTAAGAACGCTTTCATAGATTCATAGATATTAAGGTCAGAAGGGACCATCATGATCATTTAGTCCGATCTCCTGCACAACACAGGCCACAGAATCTCACCCACCCACTCCTGCGATAAACCTCTCACCTATGTCTGAGCTATTGAAGTTCTCAAATCATGGTTTAAAGACTTCAAGGTGCAGAGAATCCTCCAGCAAGTGACCCGTGCCCCATGCTACAGAGGAAGGCAAAAAACCCCCAGGGCCTCTTCCAATCTGCCCTGGAGGAAAATTCCTTCCTAACCCCAAATATGGTGATCAGCTAAACCCTGAGCACATTGGCAAGACTCACCAGCCAGATACCCAGGAAAGAATTCTCTGTAGTTGCAGATTTGACAAATTGCAAAGAAGGTACCAATGTGAGATTTCTAAAGATAGCAACCGCACTTGACCCAAGGTTTAAGAATCTGAAGTGCCTTCCAAAATCTGAGAGGGATGAGGTGTGGCGCATGCTTTCAGAAGTCTTAAAAGAGCAGCACTCCGATGTGGAAACTACAGAACCCGAACCAACAAAAAAGAAAATCAACCTTCTGCTGGTGGCTTTTGACTCAGATGATGAAAATGAACATGCGTCGGTCTGCACTGCTTTGGATTGTTATCGAGCAGAACCCGTCATCAGCATGGACGCATGTCCTCTGGAATGGTGGCTGAAGCACAAAGGACATATGAATCTCTAGTGCATCTGGCATGTAAATATCCTGCGACACCAGCTACAACAGTGCCATGCAAACACCTGTTCTTGCTTTCAGGTGACATTGTGAACAAGAAGCAGGCAGCATTATCTCCCATAAGTGTAAACAAACTTGTTTCTCTGAGTGATTGGCTGAACAAGAAATAGGACTGAGTGGACTTGCAGGCTCTAAAGTTTTACATTGTTTAATTTTTGAATGCAGGGGTTTTTTTGTACTTAATTCTGCATTTGTAAGTTCAACTTTCATGATAGAGATTGCACTACGGTACTTGTATTATTTTCGTTTTGTACAGTGCAAATATTTGTAATAAAAAATAAATATAAAGTGAGCGCTGTAGGCTTTGTGTTCTGTGTTGTAATTGAAATCAATATATCGGAAAATGTGGAAAACATCCAAAAATATTTAAATTGTATTCTATAATTGTTTAACTGTTGGATTAATCACAAAATTAATCACTATTAATTTTTTAATCACATGATAGCCCTACTTTAAATAATGAGCTTTTCAAAAGTGCTCCACGCCCAGCAGCCCTCAAAAGGAAATGCTAGTTGCTGAGCACTTCTGGAAATCTGACCACTTCATTTATTAGTATTTATATTACCATAGAGCTTTGGGCCATAGTCATAGAGCAGGACCCCTGTTGTGCTAGGTGCTGTTCAAACACAGAACATAAAGCCTGTGTCTGCCCCAAAGAGCTCACAATCTAGGGGGCCTAACTGGGAGCTGAGTTCTCATGAAAATCCAGCCCCAACTCTGCGTACTCTGCACTTTAGGAATTTGACCCTCATTTCTTTCAGGCTCTGTTTTGCATTTCAGATGAAGTGGGAGAGTTAGGAATTTTGCTCTGAGTTCCCTCTCCATTGCAGGTGAATTTATGCCTGGGTATGGGTTTTGGGGAGAAACTGGCTGCATAAACAAGCCAAGTTCAGGCATGGAGGATTACAGGAACAACTATCAAGGAAGGAGTGGGGACAAGTGCATGTGTGCCTTGCAGAAGCTTTATGGACACTTTTAAGAGGGCTCTAATTGTGCATCCATAATCATTTTGTGGGTACAAGTAATAGAATTTAGATGTCTGTCTTCACTTGCAAATCAGATAGCTAGATATGTAAATTTAATTAGTTGCTCCTGCAACCCAACAGTGGGGGCAAACTTAGAGACTCTTCTGAAAAGGCAGCAAGGCATCAGGAAGGATCTGGAGTAAGCTTGTGACAAGAGGACAAAACCAAAGTGGAGCAAGGACTGTAGGGAACTAGGTAGAAAATGCAGGAAAAGGACAAGAACGGGTAAAATTACTAATGTGCCCTTACATTTCATATGAAAATCTTAATATTGGCTGAATGCTATAGCTTTAGGTAATTGGCAGAAAACATGACATTTTTGCCGTCATCGTCTTAGATGAAATTTCCAGACTGGTAGAAATTTAACTTAGTGTTCTCAGATGGATTATGGGACATGGTTCAGATAGGCATATTGTTAAAATTGGAAAGTTCTCCATGCTGCTACGTTTCCACATCTTTGTGGTATATTTCAATTTTGATGGTACTGTGCCAGTATATATTGGGCCGCTGTGGGGATTATAGATGTTCCCAGGGACAGATGCTATGGGCCAAATTCTGTTATCTGTTGTACAACTGCAACTCTCACTGAGTTTAATAGCTGTTGCACCTGTACTAGAGAGCAGAATTTGATCTTATATCTTTAGTACTTTGTTTTGAAAAGAATGGGTGTGTGTTAAAAAGGTGCAGCATGCTAGAACTTTGTGACCCAACATGGTGCATTAAAGTGGATCTAATGTTGATTTTTTTTTTTACAGTAACATCTGTGCTGTAACTTTCAAAATGATGTAATATGAATAATGACTACTAGGACTGATGGAAGTGATACCTACCACCTGTTTCCATAAAACTACTAGAATGTTAGTAGTAAAATACAGAAAAGTATTATAGAACTCAGAGAGATGGGAGGGCATGGTCTGGACTTGAGCAAGTCACTTAACTCCCTCTGCCTCCATTTCCCCAACTGTAAAATGGGGATAATACTTGCATCACAGGGGTGTTAGAACTAATAGAAAATGTTTGGGAAGTGCTTTGAGCATGCAAAGAACTAAGTATTATCAGACCTCCATTTCAGATGGTTAGATTAGGTGATGGTTTTGTGATGTTGACAAATGTTTAGTGTGTTCTTGGACAGATTTTGAAGCATGTTAAACTTGCATCCAATCCATATTGCAACCTCTTGTTCTGTAATTGTTGACTATATTTACTTTTTTGCCATGAATATAGTTTTAAAATAATTTAAAGAAATACATGCTGAAGCACAAGCAACCCATTTTGGGTTTATGGTAACAGCTTTCTTTTAAAAGACTGCCTTTTATAAAGAATTTGCTCAGTAAATTACATTTTTAAGGGTTTTAAGCATTTTAATCAACTTATTTATAAAAGCAGTTGAGAGTTGGGATTTTGTTTTTTCAGGTGTTTTTACTTATAACGTGGAGTTTAGATATCATCCCGTTCCTAGTAAGGAAGGAATGTTGCATAGCATAGATGTTAGAGAAAAGACAAGTTGTAACTTGCATGGAAAACACCAAAAACTTTTCAATGCGAATGTATGATATTTAATGAGTATACAACATTTCTACAGCAACATGTGGTATGTTTTTAATGTATTTATTGACCAGTTTTTAGCCTTTCTGGATAACTCTTTACTAATATATTGTCATTTTTCTATCCCATTGTCATACCTGTACCAGTAAAATATGTAAAGAATAAACTGAACTTCATCATCCTTCTAAAGTGGTTGTGGCATTAACAACTTCTGGCAGAATTTTTAAACCATTTTTACAAAAGAGAATGGGATACTGGATAGATATTTGCATCCCAGAGTTTTTTGCTATGTATCCAAGAAAGGACACTCCTTTATTACAAAGAAAATGAAAACCACCTTATTTATGTAAGGGTATTTCATATTTTAACATCTTAAAGCAGCTGCACATACCAATTTATAATTCACTGCACTGGATTAGACTAGCAATCCATCAGGTTTTGTATTCTGTCTCTGGCAGCAGTTTATACCAGATGCTTTAGGGGAAAGCAGCAGCGGGGGTCCCAGATCATGTGCCGCCATCCTCCACCCTGCCAACACCCAACATTTAGTCAGGGGTATATAGTACAAGGCATGGACAGGTCCCGGGACATTAATTTTTGTTTACTGCCCTTGTCCTGTCCATGACTTTCATTTAAAATACCCGTAACTAAAACATAGCCTTAATTATGATGGTACGAACATAAGAATGGCCATACTGGATCAGACCAATGGTCCATCTAGCGCAGCATCCTGTCTTCTGACAGCAGCCAATGTCAGCTGCTTCAGAGGGAATGAACAAAGAACAGGGCAATTACTGAGCTATACATCCCCTGTTGTAAAGTCCTACCTCCTGGCAATCAGATGCTATGGGACATCCAGAGCTAATAACTATTGCTGGGCCTATCCTCCATGAACATGGTAGCATTATCAAAGTAACTTCTCTGGTGTACTGTGCCAGCTTCTGGCTTGGCCATGGCAACAGTAAAGTTCACACTTGAATTGCCAGGCTGGAGATAGAAGGTATTGGGCCCTTTTCCAGTGCAAGAACCAAAGTCTGTCCTCCTTTCTTTCCTGTGGGAGAGAATCCCCATCAAGTTCAATTCTATGACCAGGAATGTACGTGTTGCCCAAGTGTAAGAAAGCAGATCCTCAAGGTATCTGAGAGGCACGCGTGTCAGCTCAGGGCAACTGCACTGGTATGCGCCCTCTGTCGTCCAGCAAGGTCACCTAGTATAGGCTTCCAGTTCCCCAACCATCTCCTCTCTTGAATGGAGACATGGATCTCTCTCACTTCTGACCAGGGCTGCACAGTCCCCTGACTAAATGATGATATTCTCAGCAAAAGACAGGCTGCCCAATCAGGCTTCTTTTGCCTTCTCTTCAGAGACTGTACACCATGTAATTACCACTGATACAGGTCACCACACAGCTCTTGCTAAGTAAGCACACTTCATTCTTAAGGTAAAAGCATAAGAGAAAACACTAAAAATATAGAACCACCTACACGGATGCTAATAAGCTAACTCGAGTTGACCACCCAACGTGGGCTCTGGCAGGTGAGCAGTTCTTCAAAATCCCACATGAGGGTTTTCCTGTGGTTTTGAGTTCGTAACACGATTTTGTGCAGAACAAGAACCCTCATAACTTTGAGTCATTTATCCAGTTTGGGCCTTTGAAGAGATTGTGAATGGGTAATCACCCAGACAATGGTTTTCTGTATAAGGTGAAAATTCAAAAGGTGAGTGGGGAGTCCTTTGCATTCCCCTCATCCCAAATATTTCTAGGGAAATCCACTTCACATGTATTATCCGAAGGAGTTGTTTTAAGTTCCTAATACTTCAAAATACTGCATTAGTCAGATTTCCTAGAGAAATTACATATAATTCCATAATATATTAGCAATTGCATTTTTAATACAATGGACAACTTTTAAAATACGAACAGAATTAAATTAAACCTTATTGAATTAAGGTTTGTCTAGGTTATTGTGTTGTATGTCAGAGGAAGTACAACCTGCTCAGATTGGGGCTACATCCGCCATTTTAAACAGCTCCCACTCCCCTTACTATGGCTCTAAATATGGGGCATTCAGTGATGCCAGCTGCCTGGACAGACCAGGAAGAAACTGCCAGCTGCTTTAAAAAAAAACAACCAAACCTCTAAAGTAAAGTGGGGATTGAAATAGCTCTTGGATCTTGCCTTTTATCTTTAGAGGTCTCAATGCCATATACATAGCCAGGTAAGCTGCAGGCACGTTGACGGCAATGTTAGCACTGAAAACTAGCTTTGTGCTCCTACTGGGATTTTTTTAGTCACAGTGGCAATCAGTGCATACTCTCAGGTATGTTGTTTGATTACCGTGTGTAAATTCATCAGGAAAAATTCAGACCTGCTGTGAGCAGCCATAGTGACAAACTGTTGTGTAAGATAATTGAGTGGAAAGTGGATTAAAAATGGATATGTGAAAAGAAACAAGGCACACTGTCCAATTTGGCACGCAGTGCGCTTTTGCCAAGCAATGTAATTTATATGCAGAGGAGAGAGTGCAGCCGGAAAAGCAACTCCCGTATGCATACAACACAGGGGGGAGCCTGCTTTACCGTACAGCTAGGCTCCCAGAGCGGAGATTTTTACTGGTGTCAGTAAACGTCACTTTCACGCCAGGGCTACACCCATTGCCACTCCGGATCGGCCACGCGCGCAGCCCCAGGCAGAAGCGGGAACTCAGGGCGCTCCAAGGCTGGGGACTGTGCAGGCAGCCAGGCGCTGCTGCTGGTAACGTGTCAGTGGTTGCAAAGCTTAACCTCAGGGCCTGGGGTCACCCCCTAACAACCGCCGCCTGCGCCCGCCGCTGTCTGCCGGTACATCGGTAACAACGGGGGGGCGGCTTACAAACAAACGTGGAGCCTCTCCCACAGCAGCCCCGGGGCGGCGCTGGCGGAAGCGCTGCCACGGCTCATGCCCAGCCGCGCAAGGGGCTGCTGTGGACGGTGTAGGACAAACCCCCCCGGGGGGGGGAATCTCCCAGGCCCTCCGCGGCTCACGCGCCAGGACGGTTTCCCCGCGGGCCGGGCCGTTGCGAGGGCAGCGGGCGCACACCCGCCACAGCGGGCTGGGCACAAGTAGGACGCGAACCTCCAAGCTCATTTGCATACGGCGCCCACTGATTTACCCTCATTCGCTTCTCGCATAGAGTCCCCGCGGCACGTGGCAGCCGTGACCCCGCCCCCTGCGTTGGCCGCACGCACCACGCGCGAGGTAAACGGGGAGGAGGAGGAGGAAGAAGGTCCTTACATAGGCTGTCCCATTGGGAGACACCCCGCGGCTCTGAACTCAGGCCCCGCCTACCCGGATCTCCCGGATGTAGACACTATTCCCTTCCTGTCGGGGGTCAGTCTTGTGCTTCCGGGTAACGGGGACGCTGGAAGCTAAGGTGGGGAGTCCGAGGCGGGACGTGGGCCCTGGTAAGTGCTGGGAGCGGCGCAGCGCTGGCGCCCGGGAAGCAGCTTCCCCGCCCTGCCCCCCGCTGTCTGCCCCCTCTTCTCCCGCCCCCCCCGCTGTCTGTCCCCCCCCGCTGTCTGCCCCCTCTTCTCCCGCCCCCCCCCCGCTGTCTGCCTCCTCTTCCCCCGCTTGCCCCCTCTTCTCCCGGCCCCCCCGCTGTCTGCCCCCTCTTCTCCCGCCCCCCGCTGTCTGTCCCCCCCCCTGTCTGCCCCCTCTTCTCCCGCCCCCCTCTTCTCCCGCCCCCCCCCGCTGTCTGCCCCCTCTTCTCCCGCCCCCCCCCGCTGTCTGCCCCCTCTTCTCCCGCCCCCCCCCCCGCTGTCTGCCCCCTCTTCTCCCCCCCCCCCCTCTCCCCCCCCCGCTGTCTGCCCCCTCTTCTCCCGGCCCCCCCCGCGCGGCGTTACACCGCCCGCCCCGCCGCGTAGCCGCGGGCCCTCTCGGCATCCGCTGCGGCCGGTGGCTTCCTACGGGAGCTCCCTGGTGGCCGCCCGCAGGGGGAGAGAGCGGAGCGCTGAGCTGCGCCCGGGCCGCGGCCCTGGCAGGAGCCCGCCCCCCGCAGTACATCGCGGCCGGTCGCGCGGGGCGGTTTCACTTGCCCGCCCCGCTCTGGCGGGATCCTCTGTGGTCGCCCCGAGGTACTCACAACGTCTGACTCCGACCCCGCGACGTCACACGGTTGGCTTAAAACCTGTGAGATGACGAGAGACCCCCAGGGGTGCGGGAGCAATCTGTACAGTGGGGCTGGCGGCGAGCCATTGGCCCAAACCGTAAACCCTGCCGGTGATGGAAACCACCCCAGTCAGGAGGTGCTGCAGCAACCCTACTTCCAGCCCCTGTGGATAACGTCGGGCAGGGGTTTCTCTGCTGCCTTCTGCTCTCCGCAGCTTTACAGGGCGTTTGGGGCCATGTTTTTCTCTACTGCCCTGAGCACCAGAAACTTGCTTATGGACGCTGAGATTCTCCTGTAATAACCAGACTGGGGTTTTAAGTAAAACACCGGATATTGCTAGAGTTGGCCACTGTGGTTCTGCATATCGCTGACTTGCTCACTAATTGAGAGATGGTTGATACAGCTTCCTCAAGCGCTGGTCACTGAGGGACAATCTTTGCCCTAAAAAAGGGATTGAAAGAGAGAAGTCTATCCCTCCCCAAAGCTAGACTTGCTGTTTCCACCTGCTCACAGTTGTGGAGCACACAGTATGATGCTGTGTGTAACAGCATGTGTTGGGTTAGGCACATTTTTAACTTTCAGAGGTCATCTCCAAAAGCCATGTATATGTGCATCTGCAGTTGCAAATGAGCCTGCACTGTGTGTTAGGTTGCCTAGCAAAGAAGAGTGTTTTGACTTGATTTTAGTTTTCTGATGTTTTCAGGATTGCACTTGTACATTAGGCCACTATATTCAGTCTTTTGAATAAAAGTTGTAACAAATGCTGAGCATCATAATCTTCTTAGTGCCCTGGCACTAAATTTTATGATTTAAAAACTTAGGAAAATGAAAGATTTTTATTATTACAGTAGGTTAATTTTTGGGCCAGTCAACCCTGAAATGTTTAATTTAGCCCAATTGTGCCTACATTTTTAAGGTGTGTAAGATTGCTCAGGCTGTGAGATCCTTTTGGTGTAAGATCACCAGATGCAGAGAGTAGTATTAATCCAGTATTCATTTGTTGTCACAGGCTTATATCATGATCATAGCAATTTTTCTTCTTTTGAGAATTTTTAAAATTTTAATTTGCATGAACTTTTAGTTTAACTATTCCTATAAAGTTGCATTTCAGTGATGCTATCAACATCTTGCACTGACTGTTTCCTCATCCCTTTGAGGTCTCCGGGAATTTAAATGAATTAAATAAATTTCCGAGTCTATCTCCTGTTAGCACCGTCTCAAGAGTTTACCTATAGTATTAATATTGATGTCATTTTGAAAAGTAGATAAGTATTATCCTTATTTTACATTTGCAGATACTATGGGCTTGTCTACACAGAGTTTTAGTCAACAATAACTTTACTTAGTGTGCATTCAAGTGACTTGTGTCCATACAACATAATTCTTCAAAGTATACTAACTGGCCAGGAAATACATGTTCTATAATTCACTTTGAAAGTATATTAAGTTCACTGAGTATTGAATTAGTGCGGACTAATATATGTGTATGTGCTCTTCCCATTTCCACTAGCTTGGCAGTCTGCAAACTGCTATCCCACATTGCTTTGCATGTTGCCAGGACCGGTTTGTCGCTTTACCTGTGTGCCCTCCACTGCTCTGAGGTCATGGTGACTGGATGTCAGATAGCATGGATGTTTTGCTCTAATCACGTACCATCTTAACGGCCGAACACTAAGTGCTAATGACTTGCACTAAAACAGCTATGAATGGAATCATAGAAGTGTTGGACTGGAAGGGACCTCAATAGGTCATCTAGTCCAGTCCCCTGTGTGACGGGTTACCGCCCCTCTGGGGTGCTACTTGATGTACTAGGGTACCACTGAGCCCGCCTGTTCCACTAGCCTGGGCTCCCTTACGCTGTCCTGCTGAGCCAGGCCCTCAAGCCTCCTCCAGCGTACACACAGGTAGGGACAAACCCAGCTGCAGAAAGACACAGAGTCTGAAATCAGCACTGCATGGGAAGGCTTCAGCTAAGGAATTGCCCAGTGCTCAAGTGCACACCCCTTCTGGAGTGTAAACCCAAAATTATATTGTCTTGCACAGAGGACTATACAGCGTAAGCTCATGAAATTCACCCCCTCCCTCAGTGTGGAGGAAGATATGCACAGCCCCCTCCCTTACCTCCCCCAGTTATGAATTCCACAAACTAGTTTTAGAGAAAACAAAACAAGTTTATTAACTACAAAAGATAGATTTTACATGATTATAAGGGATAGAAAACAGCTCAAAGCAGATTACTGAGCAAATAAAACAAACACGCAAACTAAAGAAACTGTTTACAACTAGTTTCAGAGTAGCAGCCGTGTTAGTCTGTATTTGCAAAAAGAAAGGGAGTACTTGTGGCACCTTAGACTAACCAATTTATTTGAGCATAAGCTTTTGTGAGCTACAGAAGTGAGCTGTAGCTCACGAAAGCTTATGCTCAAATAAATTGGTTAGTCTCTAAGGTGCCACAAGTACTCCTTTTCTTTCTGGTTACAACTAGTAATTTCTCACATTAAATGTTTTATGGCATTTCTTTCGCAAGCCAGACACCTTTTTCAGCCTGGGCTCTTTTCTCCCCTGCCTTTTTGTCCTTGTTTCTTAGATGTTTTCAGAAGTCATCCTGGGCAGGGATTCAGTGAAGAATGAACACTGATTAAGTCAATCCCCAGTCTTAAATAGGTTTTACATATGGCAGAAACCCTTTGTTTGCCAGTGAGGTTCCCATCCCCCTCAGTGGAAAAATACTGGTATTCTATGATGGAGTCCAGTACCAGGTGACATGATCACATGACCCTGCAGTGTCAAGCAGCCATGAGTCAAAGGCCATTTGTAACATCCCAGGAAGCTTCTCAGGAAGGTGGGAGATTAGTATCTTCAAAGTCCTATTGTTCTCCCTAATAGCCCATCCAGACTGATTGCATTCTGTCTGGTGGGAGTTCCCCAGGTGTAAGCCCACTTGTAGTTTTACAAAGTCAATATTCCTAACTTCAGATATAGAAATGATACATGCATACAAATAGGATAATCTTCAGTAAATCATAACCTTTCCAATGATATCTCACAAGACCCATCTTAGGTGTGCTATAATCATCTAACAATATTTCTATGAAGAATATGGGGGATAGGGTCACACCCTGCACTCAAGGCAGGACTAAGGAATAACTAGACCACCTGTCAGGAATGTTTTTAAAAACCTCCAATAACAGATTCCGCAACCTCCCTAGGCAATTTGTTACAGTGCTTAACTACCCTGAGAGTAAGGAAGTTTTTCCTAATGTCCAGCCTAAACCTCCATTGCTCCAATTTCTGCTCATTGCTTCTTGTCCTATCCTCAGAGGTTAAGGAGAACAATTTTTCTCCCTCCTTCTTGTAGCAATCTTTTACGTACTTGGAAACCGTTATATCCCGCCTCAGTCTTCTGTTCTCCAGACTAAACGAACACAGTTTTTTCAATCTTTCCTCACCGGTCATATTTTCTTGCCCTTTAATAATTTTTGTTCTCCTCCTCTGGACTTTTTGTCCACATCTTTCCTGAAATGTGGCACCCAGAACTGGATGCAGTACTCCGGGTGAAACCTTATCAGCTTGGAATAGAGTGGAAGAACTATTTCTCATGTCTTGCTTACAACACTCCTGCTGAGACATCCCATAATGATGATCACTTTTTTTGCAACAGTGTTACATTGTTGGCTCATATTTATATTGTGATCCACTATAATCCCCAGATCCCTTTCCGCAGTACTCCTTCCTAGGCAGGCATTTCCCGCTCTGTGTGTAATTGATTGATCCTTCCTAAGTGGAATACTTTGCATTTGTCCGTATTGAATTTCATCCTATTTACTTCAGATCATTTCTCCAGTTTGTTCAGATCATTTTGAATTTTAATTCTACAAAGCACTTGTAACCATTTTCAGCTTGGTGTCGTTTGCAAACTTTATAAGTGTACTCTCTATGCCATTATCTAAATAGGTAAACTGTGGTTCACAAGTAGCTCTATGTGTCTCCTGTGGCTCTTTGCAGCACATGACATTAAAACACTTTGATTTAATTATTAACCAATCAGGATGCTTTTACTATGTTGTTAACCAATTCTAGTTGATAAAATAAGTATACTTGGTCAGTCATTTTGCTATGAGAGTACAGTAAATGAAACAATGAATTCACACTACTGTGGCTCTTCTGGGTAATATTGATCATTCATTTGCTCCTTAACTACCGAACGCTGAGTATCACTGATTTAGATCATTCGTGAAGATATTGAATAGAACTGGACCCAGGACCGATCCCTGTGGGACTCCTCTCAGTATGCCCTTCCAGCTTGACTGTGAACCACTAATAACTACTCTATGGGAACAGTTTTCCACCTTATAGTAGCACCATCTAGGCTATATTTCTTTAGTTTGTTTATGGGAATTAAGCAAGAGTAAAACTTATGAAAATGAACCACTTCATGTTCTTAGGGATTAATTTCAAATTTAAAGTTCTCTTAATGTAAACTGCTTTAAAATAAGAATACACTAGAAACTGGAAAACCATGAGTTTGCAATTTTCTGTATGTCGGATGAGAATTTTAGAGTACAGATTCTGTCTATTAGAATCATAGAATTTAAAAATGGAAAAGACCTATTAGATCATCTAGGTCATCTTCCTGCTAATGTAAGATTGCACTGTAGGGAACATTTTCTTATGTTTTGCATGGATGTTAAAGGTAACATGGCACAGAGAGAGAGGGAGGCGGGGGAGGGGGGGTGGGTGTGTGTGTGTGTGTTTTCTCTGGTATCCTAGCCAGAATTCCCCCTCTCCATGCCACTGTTGAGCAATATGATATGTACTGTCTGCTGAGTGCTCCACACCAAAGGTGGATGCATTTCAGTGGCTTTGTGTTGTATTTAGCCTATGAAGCCCTTTGTGGCGAGCCTTCTGAATAGAAGGTAGTATATAGCATGTTTTTTTAATTATGTACAAACTTAGATGTCTGCAAAATTTGTTTTAAAATCTGCTTTGAACAATGATATGCAAGTAGTTGCACAGAATTTTTCATTTAATCAAGGTACAACAGTCTTAAATTAACTTACACACACACACAATTTATATATATGAATTTAAAAGTGGTGAGTATGAATGCAATTTTTGAGTGTGGATGTGTGTGTGTGTACACACATGTAAATACTTGGGATTTTTTTGTGCAATTCCTGGCATAGCATGATTAGACCCTACACCCATGTTCATCCTGGTGTAGTTTGATATTTATCTTTCTTCCCCCATCTAAATAATAGGAATTGATCATGGAAACGTTCCCTGATCTCCACTACCATTGTACATGTATGTTTCAAAGAAAGCCTTTTTGCGGATATTCATATATGTTTCTTTTCATTAGATATGGATAACAGACGTGATGAGAAATGTGGAACACCATGCGCTACGTCACAAGAAGAGATGAAAGTCAGAGGTGGGAGTCATGAAATCAAACTCCTAGTCTAGGACAATAGCTGCTGCAGAAAGACTCTTGTTTGTATACTATGCTTTGCATGAGTAAAAATGTTTGATGGCATTGCTTGGCATTGTCATTAGCTACATTATGTTGGAAATGACAGAAGGCAAGGACAATGGTTTTATCTTTTTTTAATGGATTCACCAAATCTTGTCTTAAATTTTAATTTCTATAAAAATATGTCTTCTGAGCTTAAGTTATTAGCTTTTGTGTTGTCACTATTTGAAACCTAATGAACCAGGCCTTGTATTCTCCTCAGGGAAAGACAAGAGAAAGCGAAAACGCAGCAGAAGCAGATCATCATCCATTTCATCAACATCATCTGCTAGCACTACTACTACATCCTCCTCATGCTCTTCATCAAGGTCTTCCTCCTCTTCAAGCAGCAGAAGCAGTTCAAGTGGCAGAGGTAAGTTGCCATTACTGCACTTGAGTGTGTATTTACTCGTTCGAACGGTGCTGCTACACACATTTGAAACTTGCTTTAAATGTAGCTTAATTACCAGGAAATAACTGTACAAGTTAGTGCACAACCTTTGCTGTCTTTTTCTTCAGACTGTTTCCATGTAACCACTTCCTGTAGCTACTCCAGCGTCTCTCTATACACTGCATGTGCTGTCATGTAAAATAACAAATCAACATTCGAAATAAAAAATATTATTTTCACTCAAAGCAACAAGTAAGATCTCAAATAACATCGCGTACGTTTAAAATGTTTTAAAACAAAACAATTGAAATTTTTTTTCTATTTTGCCTGCCTGTCCAGACCAAAGTTAGTTTTTTGGTTTTATCTGAATTTTGGTCTCAATCCTGCGAATGCTTAAAGGTGTGAAGTTTACTCATAGGACTAGTCCCGCTGAAGTCTATGGGACTGCACTCATGATTAAAGTTGTGGCTCAAAAGCTTGTCTATCTCACCAAGAAAAGTTTGTCCAATAAAATATATTACCTCACCCCCCCCTTTGTCTTTATGATTAAAATTAAGCAGATATGTAAACGTTATTTGACTGGGTGTCCCTACGGGTGCTCCACTTTAGGTGTCTGTGTGCCTGTGTGCTTTCAATCAGAGATCTTTTGGTGGTAGTGTCTGTGGGGTCCACATCTGCACCATGTACATCCCTATGCTCCAATCCAAGACCATATAGAGGAGGGTGGACCTGCCACTGTTCCAGTTCCTTCTCAGAAACCTGCAACTAGAGGTGCAGCATTGCGGTATCCATTAGCTTCAAAGTTTTAGCTAGCTGACTTATTTTAGTCTTATCTCTTTTATTTTTTTTATTAATTTCCCAAACATGCTGTGTGATTTTGGGGGTCCCCCCTCACCCCTTCCACACCTGACCTTGACCTCTCCTTGTCTTTCACCTTCTCTGTTGCGGGGTATGCCCAAGATCTCAGGCAGCAAACCCTGTCAGACCCGTAATAGGTCTTTTTGCCTTAGTGATGGACATTCCAGCTGTCTGAGTCTCATGTTCCATCTAAGTGCAAGGTCTGCACTGGTTTTAGGAGAAGATCTAGGAAGCTGAGGGACAACAGGCTCAATCTTCTCCTCATGAAGCATTCCTTGAGACCTGCTACCATTTCAGGCCCCCTTGTATATTGGCCTCAGACAACCTGAGTGCCCTGGCAACTTTCACAGCCCTGACTCCAACAAGCGGAGACCTGGGAAAAGCTTCAGAGGGTCTAAGAAGAGGGAGAAGTCATCCCCGAAGCAGGTAGCAAGTATACCTTGCGTCTGGTATGAGTACTGCTGTGGTTCCTACGTCCTCAAAGATCATCTGCAGCATGGTACTTCCTGAGAAATTTCTCAGCAAACAGCCTCACTAGACACTGACGTGGGTACCCTTCTCAGAGTCCTCCAGAGACTCCTTGAAGAAACTGTCTTTGACCGTGACCCACTTCTACAGGTAATGGGTGAAAGGGCCATATGGATCGTCGAGCTGTACCATCCCTGATAACATCAGCTTCGTCCTAACCAGCCACTTGGAGCCCTACTTTGTTGGTATCAACTAGGTTCCTTTTGCAAGAGGATCTTTGAGTGTCAGAAGAACCTGAGTTGCGTCTACTGAGATGTATGAAGAGAGATCTTCTGAAAGTACTGATGTATAGTTCCCCTGTCCCAGAGTATCACCACATCTCTTGACTACATTACACAGTTTTGTCCTCAAAAGGCAGCTTTCGTCGGCAAAACAATGGTGTACACACAGCAAAGCTCCTCCCGCTGATTTAACTCTCCTGATACGCTGATGACATAAAACCACCTCAACAAGAGGCATAGAGCTTTTTGTGATGAAGTTAGAGCGATGCAGTGCCAGTGTGGACACTGCGCTTGCTTATGTTGCCCTAATTGGTCTCCGGGGGTGTCCCACAATACACATCATGACCGCTCTGGTCAGCAGTTTAAACTTTGCCGACCTGCCTGCATGCAGGCATGCGCCCCTCTCCCTTTAAAGCCCAGGAATTTTCGAAATTCCTGTTCCTGTTTACTCGGCGTGGACAGCTCACATAGTAAATGCACAGCTAACCATGTCAACTTTCTGCAGCAAATGCACTCATGCCTGGAGTACACTGGAGTTGTTGGGTTTGTGGGGCGAGGAGGCTGCGCAGTCCCAGCTCCGCTCCAGCTGTAGGAACTTGATACCTACGGGCAGATTGCTCATGGCATGCTGAAGAAGGGGCACAAAAGGGACATGCAGCAGTGCTGTGATAAGATCAAGGAGCCGAGGCAGGTGTACCAGAAGGCAAGAGAGACCAACCGTAGCTCTGGTGCGGCGCTGAAGACATGCCACTTCTACCAGGAGCTGCACACCATCCTCAGTGGCAACCCTACCTCCACCACCAAGAGTCGCTTGGATGCTTCGGGGGGGACTGGAGGCAGCGACCAGCGGAGTCAACCCTGGGGACAAAGTGGTGGACAAGGAAGTGGAGTTGGAGTAGGATGTGGGACATGCAACAGGGTCGTCCGATGGCCTGGCGAGCCGAGCCAGGACCTCCTTTTTGACTCCGGAGGAGTCTAGCCAGTCCGAGCACTCAGACTGTGGCATGCCTGATGCAGGAAAAGGGATCTCTGGTAAGTACTAATTTTGCTTTGATACTGCATGGTGACAGGAGGTTGAGCTCCGCTTTATTTTGTTACATGATAAAAGTGGGATAAGGGATAGAAATTAACAATACTAGGTACTCTTTGCACCTGCTTCTCATTACCCTGTGCAGCTATGCAGTGGGGGCCCTGTGGAAAAGTTTGTTAATGCACGCCAGGATGTCCTGGGAATCCTCCATAGTGATTTCTAGGAGACTTTCCTGGAGGTACTCTGCAATCCTCTGCCGAAGATTCCTTGGCAGAACTGCTTTGTTTCTTCCCCCGCTGTAGGAAACTTTGCCACGCCAATCAGCAGTTACTTCTCCAGGAACCAAAGCAAGCCACAGGCGAGCAGCATACGGACCCGGTCAGAAGCTGCATGCATGCAGGAGATGCACCCTTGCATCCTTGGTTACCCTCAGGAATGAGATATCAGCTTTGATCACCCCCCACCTGTGAAAAACAGTGCCAGTATTCAGAGTAGTGTTCCTAGGCGCTTGTAGTGATCCCCTTCGGAAACCACCGAGACCCTTTGTCCCATCTTGCCCCTTCCCTCTCCCTCCCTCCCAGGCCAAACTCACCATGTTTTGGGCTCTCGCTGTGCTGTGTGCTTGCTAAGGGAAAGTGAGAAAGAGATGTATGTAACTGTTATGATTCAAGGCTGTGAGTGCACTCATAATACTACCTCTGTTTGTTGTTTCTGTTGTTTCTGCAGATGTGCCCTTATGGGCCACCTCCTACGCACCAGCGGAGCACCTCCATCAGATAAGGAGGCGAACCAGGAGGAGTAAGGAGGACATATTTAGAGAACTGCTGCAATCAACTGATGCTGCAGACAGTGAGAGCAGAGCATGGAGAGAGACGATCAATGAAAAACTCAGAATGGATAGCCAGGAGAGGAGACGGGGGCAGGAGCGGATGATAAAACTGATGGAGGACCAAACAGAGATGCTGAGGTCCCTGATTGCACTGCAGGCAGAGCACATCCGTGCTCAACTTCCCCTGTAGCCTGTACAGAACTGCATTCCATGCCATCCCCAAACTCCCCACACACATTCCTCGCATGTTCCCAGCCTGTCGCAGTACCCCTTGCCCTTGACCCCTAGGGATATGTTTCATAATGACAACTGGACTTACACACAGCTGTGAGAGCCTCATTTGAGACAGTAATCCTTAGGGTCATGTCCCTTATAGGAAATGGAAATCTGTGTATTGCTGTTTAATAAAAATGTAGACTTAGCAATAAAAGGAATCTTTTTGTGTCCTGCACACAGTAGTTGCTGCTGAAATTCTTATATGGTGGCAATTGTCATATTTGCTACCAAAGCATTAATTGTAGTCTGCAATCATTACAAGGGTCATTCAAGGCAGCAAGTAAACAATGCCTGGCTGAATGCATTAAAGAAAGACACATTACTGGGGCTCATTGTCAAAATGCTGCTTCAAAGCCTCCCCCATTCAAGCAGCCCCCTGTTGAGCCCCTCTAATAGTTCTGGAATCTAGCTGCTCAAAATAAGCCACCAGGCAATGTACCTAAACGCTCCACCCTGGGGTAACTTTCCCCCTTAGCTTTGCAAATGTTATGCAGAGCACAGCAGGCTGCTATGACCATGAGAAAGATCTCAATGAAGAAAACAAACCTGCCGAAAAGGCAGCTCGAGCAACTCTTTAGTCTTCCAAAGGCACATTCAGTGGTCATTCTGCACCTGCTGAGCCTGTTGTTGAAACGCTCCTTGCTGCTGTCAAGGTTTCCCATGTAAGGCTTCATGAGCCACAGGCGTAAGGGGTAGGCTGGGTCTCCCAGGATCACTATGGGCACTATCCGCATCCCTTATTGGAATCTTCTGGTCTGGAAAGAAAGTCCCTGCTTGCAGCTTTCAGTACAGGCCAGTGTTCCTGAAGATGCATGTGTGATGCGCCTTCCCTGACCACCTCGTGTTGATATCAGTGATACTACCCCTGTGATCGACCAGCGCGTTCAGTGCCATAGAGAAGTAGCCCTTTCTGTTGTTGCACTGTTACAAGATGGCCTGGAGCCAAAATTGGGATATGTGTGCCATTTGTCACCCTGCTGCAGTTAGGGAATCCCATTGCTGCAAAGCCATCCGCTATTTCCCAAACGTTGCCCAGAGTCTCAGTACTTAGTAGTAAACATAATTAATGGCCCTGCACACTTGCATAACCATAACCCCCACAGTGGACTTCCCAACTCCAAACTGATACATGACTGGTAGCAGTCTGGATTTGCCAGCTTCCCAACAGCGATTGTCGCTTGCTTTTCCACTGTGAGGGTAGCTCTCATTCTGGTGTCCTTGCACTGCAGGGCAGGGGTGA